GTAGAAAGCGTAAAATGCATTGCGCCTCATGCAGACTGCGTTATATTTAACAATTTAGCGAGTTCAATGAACTTGGACGCCAGCTGAAAATTTAAAAAGCGGTACAAATCTACTTCTACTTGAAATCCATTTCTCCCATTGTTTCATACTCCTTGCTTTACCACCTATTTTGACTCCATTCCCCACAACTTCCCATTTTAGAAGGAAAAAACATAGTTTCTTTTTTAGTTTCAAATGCAATTTTCATTTAATTATTTGATGCTCCTTTTTTAGTATTCTTGTGCATTCATTTCTTTTTCAATGTTAAATTTTTTAAATTGTCCATTGGTCAAAAACAACATTCATTCGTTTTTCCTTGATTCGAACATCAGTTTTGTTTAACTTAAACAAAAAAAATAATTTTCAGCAGCGGGTATGCTTCTTCAATACGCTCTTCATTTCGTTGTTTAATACTCTTCGGCACCTTCACCTTCACCGTCACCAGAATCCATACCGACTTCCTCGTAATCCTTCTCGAGGGCAGCCAAATCCTCACGAGCCTCGGAGAACTCACCTTCTTCCATACCCTCACCGACATACCAGTGCACGAAAGCACGCTTGGCATACATTAAATCGAATTTATGATCCAAACGAGCCCAGGCCTCGGCAATGGCTGTGGTGTTGGACAACATGCAGACAGCGCGCTGCACCTTAGCCAAATCGCCACCAGGCACCACAGTAGGTGGCTGGTAGTTAATACCGACCTTGAAACCAGTGGGACACCAATCCACAAACTGGATGGTGCGCTTGGTTTTGATGGTAGCAATGGCGGCATTGACATCCTTGGGCACAACATCACCACGGTACAACATACAGCAGGCCATATATTTGCCGTGACGTGGGTCACATTTTACCATCTGGTTGGCTGGCTCGAAACAGGCATTTGTAATTTCGGCAACGGACAATTGTTCGTGGTAGGCCTTTTCAGCAGAGATAACGGGAGCGTAGGTAACCAGTGGGAAGTGAATACGTGGGTAGGGCACCAAGTTTGTCTGGAATTCAGTCAAGTCCACATTGAGAGCACCATCGAAACGTAACGAGGCAGTGATCGAAGATACAATTTGGCCAATCAATCGATTCAAGTTAGTGTAGGTTGGGCGTTCAATGTCCAAGTTGCGACGGCAGATATCATAGATAGCCTCATTATCAACCATGAATGCGCAGTCCGAATGCTCCAGTGTTGTGTGGGTGGTCAAGATCGAGTTGTAGGGTTCAACAACAGCGGTAGATACTTGAGGTGCTGGGTAGATAGCGAATTCCAATTTCGATTTCTTGCCATAATCGACAGAAAGACGTTCCATCAAAAGAGAAGTGAAACCGGAACCGGTGCCACCTCCGAAGGAATGGAAGATGAGGAAACCTTGCAGACCAGTGCACTGATCGGCCAATTTGCGGATACGGTCCAAAACCAAATCAACGATTTCCTTACCGATGGTATAGTGACCACGAGCGTAGTTGTTGGCAGCATCTTCCTTACCGGTGATCAACTGTTCAGGGTGGAACAACTGACGGTAGGTTCCAGTACGGACTTCATCAACGACAGTGGGTTCCAAATCGACGAAGACAGCACGGGGTACGTGTTTGCCAGCGCCAGTTTCGCTGAAGAAGGTATTGAATGAATCATCACCACCGCCGACAGTCTTATCAGAAGGCATCTGGCCATCAGGCTGGATACCATGTTCCAAGCAGTACAATTCCCAGCAGGCGTTACCGATCTGGACGCCAGCTTGACCGACATGGATGGAGATACATTCACGCTGTAAAAATAGAATAAAAAGAAAAGAAATGTTTGTTAATTATTAAATCACAGAAGACAGAAGATCTAGGCTAGATGTACATAAAATCGGCTAAAGTGAAAGTAGGGCGACCTTATATATTTTTTTTTGTCTAATTTCTACAACAATTGTTCTGTATATCACAAACCTTTTGATTTAAGTATCCCCATGAACGTAGCTATTTTCCTGCCTAGAAACACCTAACCCCTATCAAAGAAATAGCGCCCATGCGCTTCGACAAACGAGTTCGCCTACACGTACATACATACATACGTTATTTTCTTTCCTTTGAAAATGAAGTGACGCAGCGCATAATCGCCAAGTCGGCGCCGAAGCTAACGACGGCTGCACTTGGGTGCGGTCACCGGTAGCAGATGTCCAAATAGGCGACACATCTAGAAAATGCTTTACTTTTCCACCGTATAAACCAAAATAAAATTAACTTTTCCAAATTCGGCACTGCATTTTAAATCATTCAAATTAAAAACATTTTATTTTTTGACAGCAGGCCCTTTTCTTTTCAAGTTTGCAGCTTCTCTGCTCACGTCATCAAATCACGTTTTCTCTGTTGTCGCAAAACACTATTTTCAAACTTTAGCTCAATTTTTCACTAAACATCCTTTTAATTGCAATTTTTCATTTTCACTTATTTTAATTTTTGGATAATTTAACTTACCATTTTGAGTTTTTAGTTTTAATACACACAAAATCACAAAAAGATTGGACAATTTGTTTAATCGACGTTCGGAGTAGCCGGTTATGAAGCTTCCCAAACTGATATCGAATGAGTGAAAATTTTCTTCGCAACTTCTATTTATATGCTCAGCAAAACTATGACGACGCCTACTGCGCGTCGTTTTTCTTGGCAGACATTTTCGTTGAGTGATGGCATTTCGTTGGGTTAATTTTCATAGGTTGGTATAACGCTGTGTTTCGTAAGCACGTTGGATGTGTTTCATGAGTTTATTGATTTTTCACAAAAATCGAAAAAAAATTGTGATTTATTTACATATAAATATGGACACATGAATGTATATTCTCAATTTTTCTTCGCTTGTGTTGTATTCACCTCATCCCGAAATAACTAACTATTAATCGGCAATATAATATGTATATATATAAATAATTGTTAAGAAACTTAACGAAGATAGTTTTTACGATGTATAAAGGTGCATATGCATTAGGCGATTTATTGACAAGCGATAATCGCATATAGAAGTTGACTTGGTATCAGTGTTACCACAGATAAATTTTTTTCCTACCAAAATTTCCTACCATAACCAAAGAACGTAAACCCATCAAAGAAGGTAAATTTATAAGAAGGGACAACTCGTTACTTGCAAAATGTGCCGCGCCGATTTTGACCGTACCTGTAACGTTTGCAACTGGAATTCGTCTCCGTTTTGACTCTGTCCGCGGCAGATTTTTTATTTTCGCCGCGAATACGGAAAACACTAGCAAAACATAAAAGCTCAGTTAGTCAACGACGTAGCGTAAACGTAGGTTGACGTACGTAGCAGTATATAAAATTTACTGTTGATAGAGAGAGAGAGAAGCAACGGCAACGTCACCGCCATGCGGTGGTGAGTTTTCGTTAACATGCGAATCCCATAAGCTAGTCGTGTCTGCGTCAACCTACGTCTACGCTACGTCGTTGACTGTTTGTGCTTTAAGAAAGCGGCAAATGTGAATTTCGGTGATTATTTTGCACAAGTGGTTGGAAAAATATAATTAAATTTAGAAAATATATAAATGAAGGTGTAAAATATATGATATTCAGTGCATGTGTAAAATACAGAGTTGCTTGTGTGTGAAAGTATCCTTTAATAAAAAGTGTTTGTAAGTGCCAAGTGTTTGCCAACAAGTGCGATTGTTGATGCCTATGGACAAAAGGGATTATTATAAACAAAACCAGTGTACTTTTATAATAAAAATGCATTAGTTTAATAAGTCTGCGTTCAAACACGGAAACTCGAGTTTCTTATTAACGGCGATTTCTCTTTTGGTGTTGCCCTTTGCATTCACACACAGAAACTCTTTTGTACGCAATTGTTGTTGTCAGCTGTGAATCGCCAACTTGAATTACACAGACGAACGAGAGCACAAAGCGCGTTTCCCGAGTACGGGCGACTCGGTACCCGTCCCCATTCCTCGTCGCTCTCTCCCCTACAAGCTTCGAGTTTCCGCAACAAAAGTTTTCGTGTCTGAACGTCGACTAAAGGCTCCGTTATGCATACTTGGCATGGCTTGAGAGCTGTCACATAAGAAATCTGTTAAATGAGCCTCGCGTGTAATCGGTTATCGAACGCACAGCACTACATACGTAGAAGTCTGTTGGTTTTTGATTTCTACGTAAAAATGGTATAGCAGTGCATGCAATGCCAAGTATGCATAACAGAGCCTTAAGGGACGGGTACTCAATGTCGGGTTAACACTAATCTCCGGTTAAACATCGTTATCGACGTTGTATGCATGGAGTCGAAGACGTCGATAACGATGTTTAACCGCAGATTAGTGTTAACCAGATATTGAGTAACCGGCCCTAAGAAATCTATGCATTTATATATGACAATGTTGATACTAATCGATTGATTTTTTAAATCAGTTAGTTAATTCGATTAAATTCAATCCGATTAGAGTTAATCATGATTAATTTTAATCTGATAAAGGGCCGGTTGCTCAAAGCTGGCACTAATCATCGGTTAACATCGCTATCGACGCATTCGACTCCATGCATATAACACAGTGTGGGTAACGTCGATAACGATGTTTAACGGGTGATTAGATCAATGTCTGGTTATCACTACTTGGCCGGTTAAACATCATTATCGACGTTTTCGACATAATGCATACTACATGTGATCGATAAAGCAGTCGTTGTATATAACCAGAGCTTCTACCTCCGATTAGTGCTAATCAGACATTGAACAACCTGCCTTAGGGCCGGTTGTTCAATGTCTGGTTATTACTACTTGCCGGTTAAACAAAATTATCGACGTTTTCGACATAATGCATACTACATGTGATCGATAAAGCAGTCGTTGTATTTAACCGGAGCTTCTACCTCCGATTTGTGCTAATCAGGCATTGAACAACCGGACCTTAAGGCTTGAAGCTTGGTATGAAGTTCTGCCCTACAATCAGATTGTGCTAATACAACACTGGGTGCTTTTGGATTTATCGATAACTCAATTTGCAGTTCAAGCAATGATAAAGCAGTTCGATTTGACTGCCATCTTGCTGGTAAAGCGGTGCCTCCTTCTTTCTGTTTGACCACGTTCTGTGCGAGACGTATATGATACAAAATGAGCCTAAATATCTCAAAAAAACGCAAGGTAATCAATTGCAGATGCATTAATTCATTTATTAACTTTAATCTTATATCTGTGATGTTGAGTGAAAGTGAATTACCGGCTAGCAAAAGCTCTGCATGCTGATTGAAGGACGAGTGTTTGGAACTAACCTCAAATTGCAAACGTCAACTGGGTATCTTCGTGTCGCGAAATTGTATGAATGTTGATGCTCCATGGATACCCATATTCATTTGGTTCAATAAGCGTTAATTTACATTATATGTACAATGCATTTGTTAGTAATTTATCTTTTCTCCTGTCTATCCACAGTTCGTTGCCGATGGCATGTTCAAGGCTGAATTGAACGAGTTCCTGACTCGTGAGCTCGCTGAAGATGGTTACTCTGGTGTGGAGGTACGCGTTACTCCTGCTCGCACTGAAATTATCATCATGGCCACCAAAACACAACAAGTGTTGGGTGAGAAGGGTCGTCGCATTCGTGAGCTGACCGCTATGGTGCAAAAGCGTTTCAATTTCGAGCCTGGTCGCATCGAATTGTACGCTGAGAAAGTGGCCACTCGTGGTTTGTGCGCTATTGCACAAGCTGAATCTTTGCGTTACAAATTGACTGGAGGTTTGGCGGTACGTCGTGCTTGCTATGGTGTATTGCGTTTCATCATGGAATCGGGGGCCAAGGGCTGTGAAGTCGTTGTTTCCGGCAAATTGCGTGGTCAACGTGCCAAATCTATGAAATTCGTCGATGGACTCATGATTCACTCTGGTGACCCATGCAATGATTACGTTGAAACAGCTACCCGTCATGTATTGCTCCGTCAAGGTGTTTTGGGTATTAAGGTGAAAATTATGTTGCCTTACGATCCTAAGAACAAGATTGGCCCCAAGAAGCCGTTGCCCGATAACGTGTCGGTTGTGGAGCCAAAGGAAGAAAAAATCTACGAGACTCCTGAGACAGAATACAAAATTCCACCACCCAAGCCATTGGATGAATTGGCGGAGGTACCAAAAGTGTTGTAAAATTTTTAATAAAAAAAAAATTTGCTTTTATAAATTCAAGTAAATGTAGAAAATAAAAACAAATCTAATGTGGCGTCCTTAATGGACAACTAAAATTTTAGAAAAAATTTTTATAGTTGGAAACTTGCAGTTTATTGCATAGTAGGAGGAGAAGAGCGGAGGTGGAATTGTCGAAAGTTGTCTATTTTGCGATGTGTATCATTATAAAAACGAAAATAAAAGCAGTTTTTGAATTGTTAATTTTGGAAAGAAAACATTAATTATTGGTACGCCAATTATGTTTGCTAAACCATCTTAGAAAAAGTTTTTCATGGAATCACCGATAGGCAGTGATAGCGGGACTATGTTACTGAGACCGCCCAGATTTATTTGTGGACAAAGATCGGTTTTTGTATTTGTTCTTGAAAGTAGCAGCTATTTAACTTCTATATGGAGATGATGGATCATTTAATGACTTCAGGAAACCTTTGGGAGTTTGAGCCGAAGGGACTCATTGTTTGGAACCAGTCACGTTCACTTAACTTGTAGGCGACTGTCGTCTACGCTTTATCCAACATTCCATACTTTTTTTACAAGTTCAAACCAAAGAAAAGATACAAATAGGATATACTTCATCGAATTTATAAGTTTGCTTACTTCTTTCTCTTTATTAAATCGTTTTGCTGGAACTTGTTTAAACACGCAGAACACTTCAATAGTTGTTTATTAAACTTAATAATATAATACTTTGAAATACATATTATCAATGTTATGGTATTTATTTTATGCATATAACTTCACGAATATGTAGGTATATATTTTCATGTAATTAGTTTATGTGTAAGTGTATTGTTTTGCAGTTGAGGAAGTTAATGGGTTCAGTTTGGTGTTATCGTTTTTTTTTTTTTGTTTAGTAGGCAATAGTGTTATGCATTTCAAGTATGTATGTATGTTTAAAGATTGACGCGGGGTATATGTTTGTATGTATGATGTGCATTTTTTTGTTTTCGATAGCTTCTGCTTTATTTATGTACCTATGTATATATTTTATATAAGTAAGACAGTTTTAACATGAATATCTGTATAAGTAAACCTGTTTGTAGGTAAATCTATCATTAAATGCATATTAGTTCATTTCCACTGCATATTTGAAGTCTTTAATTAACAATTCTTAACTTTTTCTGATTTTTTTTTTAATCTTATTTTTATATAAAGAAAGTCTCATATGTATGTATTTGTCTACAATTTAACTGTTGGTTCAATTGGTCTGTATCAATACATACATTTGTATGCATATACATATGTTATATGGTATAAATTTATAAATTGTAAATGTTATGGAATTTAGAGGTACCACAATCAATGCCATTTAACGCTTCCAACGAAATAAGCCAAAATCAGTACATCTAAAGCTTAGAGAGTGGGCTTGTTCGAGTTGCAATCATAATCGCAGTATTGCGCGAATCATTAAACTATCACGTTCGTTGTGAATTTCTAACAACGTTTTATCAGTTGGGCACTTGCAGCAGTTATGTAAATTTTCATCACTGCTGCAGTATTGTCGCTTTTATTTCATGCCTCGAACAAGCCCAGTTAGAACATAAATATGTGTTTTACAACAATGAAATAATTTTAGTCTTTAGAACATTTAAATGCACATTTATTTCTATAAATATAAGCTAACATGTTTTCTTAGATTTTTCTTTTTTCTTAACATTAACAAGGTAATAACAATTTGGAATTAAATTTCCGCAATTATAACTAAGATCTTATTTAAGTTTGGTCTTTTGAAAGGTATGTAAGACAGCGAATTTGATTTGAGTTAATTTAAATGTATGCGTTTTTGTTTGTTTTTTTTTTTGGTAAAAGTAGTATGTATATAAAATTTATTTTGATTTACTAAAATTGTTTCGTTTGCAAGTACTTATACAATAATCCCTTTTTTTCAAATTTCTTCAACTGAAAGGATTTTTTTTTAATCTATGTAGACGGTGAACATATTTCTTAAATTGGAATTTTTATAAAAATACTAACTTTAAGATACGTATAATTTTCGTTTGCATGTTGCTTTTGCACTCGATAATGTTAATGTTTTGCAATCAAAATTTGAATTTATTGCGTGTTCGGTTATGAACTAATTATTTGTGCAACTACAACTCATAAAACGCTTTTTGCCATACAATTTTTTTATTTAATAACACCGAGACCCGCTCATTTTGTTTATGAGATCCATTCACCTTTACGTATTTTGAAGTGCTGTATCCAAATCGGCAGTCAGTTTTGGCTTAACACCCTTAGACTTTCGAGTATAAAACGAGAAAACCCCAAATTTATTGCATACTGTTGATTGGGCCAGTTGACCCCAAATAAGGTTAAATTAAATAGACATCTAAAAGCTTAAAGAGACGACGGCGTTGATCCGGACTAACTCGGACTTAATCCGGATCAACTGCAGTTAATTCCCGAGTTGATCCGGATCAACGCTGCCGTCTGTTTATGCTTTAACACGTTTAACCATTGAGTGACATGTCAAAATTCGAGCATCCAGTTCGTTTCAACACTGATTTATTTCTCATGCAAATAGAGCTTCGAATAGTTTTTAGAGAGTATAAAGTAATTCTTTTTTTGGTTGTAGAGTGCAATCGTGATTTTGTTTTACATGCTCTAGGTAGTTTAATTTAGCGAATTTGATGCAAGGTCCTTTACTGGGTAGAGTTCTCCGTATAATGAAAAACTACATATGTGGTTATGTGGAAATTTTTTTATCCAGTTCACGAAAATAAAATACACTGAGGTTGTTCACACTTGCCTGGTTATCAGGTTATCTAGTTAAAAATGATAACCATGGTGATATCACTATATAATAATATTGTTTAACCAGATAACCAGGCCAGTGCAAAGCAACTTGCGGAGCGTGCATCTGTAACTCAAAGTAGGAGCGTTCCTTATCTCCCAGAAATAGTCAGAAAAAGTCCGAAGTAGTCAGATTTAGTCCAAAAAGCGTTCCTTAACTCGGAAATGACAGCAAAAATGAGAGAGCAACAGTCAGTGAGAGTGACTCTCATCAGTCCGAAGTAGTCAGATTTAGTCAGAAGAATTTTTTCTGGCAAAATCCTGAAAAGTGTCAAACTCAACTGAATTTAAATTAACGGAAATTAAAGAATACGCTAAAAGTGAGAATAATCTAAGAAGTAAAAGAAATGAATTGAGATTGGAAGGAGGCAAAAAATAATTGATATAGCAAGTGTTTATTGTGCTTGTGCTTGTGTGAATGTGTTTTGTACATACATTTCTGTTCTTATTTGACGTTAGTTTTGTTGTTGCCATTCTTTGGACTAAAAATTTGGTTTTTTGCGTTCCTTTACTTTTCCTGTTATTCTCTTTTAGTGAGCGCTTACACTCTGGCATTTTGACACTTTTCAGATTTTAGTCCAAAAAGATAAGGAATGAACCTAGTGACTTCGAGAAGCTTGGGGAGCAAACCTAATGAATGGATGCTTTTGAAAATTTTAATTCATGGAAAAAGTGTGTCAAATTTCACTTGAGTTTGAAATTTTAGCTGTGTGTTAAGCTCGAAGTATTGAGTTATTTAAGAAGGCCTATCAGTTTTTCGAAATCACTGAATTTTCAAAATTTCGAAATTATGTACTTAATTTTCAATTTTTACTTTTTTTTGCTATATTTTCGAATTTGTATTATTTTACACAGTTGAAAGTCACAGCAAGTTTGAATATTTTCGCAGGTTCAGAAAACAACGAAAATTCCAAAATTTTAAATTTTATAATATTACGAGTCTTTAATGGACGCCAGACCCGCTTGGCGTGGACAATACTTATTGTTCAGGGGAAATGTAACAGAATTAAGGTAACTGAATAGAATTTAAAATTTTTGTAAAAGAACTACATATATAAAATATAAGGAAATGAAGATATTCCGAGCAAATAAAAGAACACGTGGAGTTATCAAGGAGTCTACATTGCACTTTCCGCTGCATTCCGTACGAATTAACAGCAGAGGGCGCTCTCAGCGCTGTTATGCGGGCAAGTATGTTAGATTCATAGAATTTTTATAGTCCTGCAGTTCCATTTTTAGGGTAGTATTTAAACTTGTTTTTTGCCTAAGACAATGAGAAGCCCATCCAGAACCTATAACCGAAATTTAAAAAAAATCGGTACAGGCGTTCTCGAGTTTTACGAACAGAAAAAAACGACATTCGAAATATATATTAGTGAAGATTAAATTTCTTGAGATTTCTCAGTTTTAGGATAGTTTCCGAAATTTCAAAAACTATCGAAATCCGGGAGATTCTAGAAATTTTGGTGAAATGAGAATATTTTGAAATGCACAAAATTATTGAGATTTTCGAAATTTTCTATATTTTCCAAAATTTTGAGAATTTTATTTATCCTAAAATGTAAAAATGTGAAACATCACAAATTGTCGAAAAATTCTTATGTTTATGTACTTGTGTGTAAAAATAGAAAATTCTTAGAATTCTAAAAGATATTATAATTTTTGAAAAATTCCAAAATTGTCCAACTTTTCAAAATTTTGTGTTGATATAACAAAGTTTGAGAATTTTAAATTTTTTGAAATTTTTGAAAACAGCAACGTCCAAAAATTTTTTAATCTTCAAGAATTACGAAAATTTTTTAAATTTTCAAAAACGACGAAATATGAAAATGTTTTCAACATTCGAAAACTTTTAATTTCGTTTGATCAAGTTTGTATATTCGACACTTTTACTTAGAAAAATTTGTTAGAATTCCTACAATTCTTAAAATTTTTGAAAAATAAAAAATTTCCAGAAATCTAGTATTAATCATTATATTGATTTATTGGGATTTACTAAAATTTCTCAAATTCACAAAGTTTTAAAAGTTTTGGAATTCCACTCAAGTTATTAAAAAGGGGAAACTTCAAGAAATTAAAAACTAGCAAAACGCTAAAAATTTTAAACTGCGGTGATTTTTAAATTTATGTACACGATACCGAACCGGTTTTGAACCGGAAAACCGCTTTTTTCTATTAATTAACTGAACCGTTAACCGAACCGAAATTTTCCACAAATGTTTGATCTGAACCGAAAACCCAACCATTTTCTATAAAGGTTTAAAGGTTCGTTTCAACCAAAACAANAAGCTGGTTTAAATTAACTAAATAAATCAAATTCGTTTTTGTATTAAAACACCACGATGCACCATTATCGACGCCTTTTTGTAGAATTTCGCTACTTTTTAGGAAGTGTGATTGAATTCTTCCCCCTTTTCTCCTGCTTCCAAAAACCATCCCTGTGGGTGGGAGTGTCAAATTTTAGAAAATAGCTACTTACAAAACCTTTAATAATTGAATCATGCCCTTAACCTTGCATACATGGTTCAATTTCTGGTCCCAGCCACATCAAAAAAAGTTTTTTTTTTTTCAAATTGCGGTCGCCCCTCGCGAGAAGCTCGGCCAAACACAAAAAAAAAAACGTTTAAGCGAAATGCATTTATTGGAATGAAATATGATTTACCTAGGATATAATTTTGAAACTATTTAGGGAAAGCCTTGAAAACTTCGAAAGACTCGAAAGTTTTATTAAGAAGTCAAGATTTATACGAAATGAAAAAACTCGGTTTTGGGGATAACAAAAACCGGTTTATTCGATATTCGAAAATTCAAGATTTCAAAAAACTGCCTATTGATATAAAAAAAACCGTGTTAATCACCCTGTGTGTATGTATAATTAGTTTCTTACAAGAAATAAGTTTGGTTAGAAAAAAAAAAACAAAAACACTGTGGCAACGCTGCTCGATAGTCAAATGCATTCGTGGGAGCTAAGTACCGATATTTAGAGTACAATGCGCTTTCAGGCTTTCAGCTATAGCTTACTGAATTGAAAATAATTGCAAACCAGCTATTCTACAGTCGACTGCAGCTGTGCATGCCTTGGTCTGAAATGAGACCGTTTTTCTTTTTAATGCATACTTACGAACAGAGCTATCGAGCGGTTACTGTAAATATATTTATTACTTATGTATGTATGTACGTGTGTAATTATGGGTTAACGTTAATAACTGTCTTTTAACTGATAATCGTATAAACTTTCAGTCTTGGCAAAAGTGGGAAGTTTTAATTTAGCACTTTATTTCTAAGAGTAATTTGATTATAACGTTTTGATGAAAGTTCATTATTATAGGAAGCAATATTAATTTTAAATAATTTTTCGGTTTTCTTCAATATAAAAATTACATACTGATATTAGTAAAAATTTGATCCATATAGCATACAATTCATTGGTGTATATTTTTAGTTTGTTTTATAAATTCAGCCATTTTATGAAAAAAAAGCATGACCAATGCAAATGCAATACATACTTTTGATGTTGGAACGGAAATGTGTATTCAGCTAAAATCGTTTATATGTAAAAAAATAAAAATAAAATTGCATTTAAAATTTTAACACTAAATTACAAGCATTAAAAACAATGCAAAATTTGCTAAAAGCTTTAATAAATAAAATTAAAATTTATTAAAATGCCTTTCACTTAAGTATTTAAAGCTTTAAAATGTGAATTAAGAATTCTTTGCATGCTCCTTTTTTATTTTTGGTTTTGAACAACACTTTTTCATTGTAATAAATACTATGTAATTTCTGCACTATAACATTGTTTTACTTAATTCTATATTTCAGAATTTTGCTAAATAGCGATTATGAAGATTTAATTTGTGCTGTTGCTTTTTTGTTTATATAATTTTTTTTTTACACACAACTTTCGTTTGAGCTAAATAATTTAACATCTTTTGTTTTTGTTGTTATTATTTTTTTATTTTATGCCTGTTTTGGCCTTTTCATTTATTCAGCTGTCACTGCTTCACCGCTGCTGGGTCCACTTAGTAGCGAGTTGCCGCTCAAGGCTGCTGCCGAGGTTTGTGTAATGCCATCACGTAAAGCCAGCTGGTAGGCAACCTCAAAGGCTTGGCCAAGCGTCAGTATGATATCGGTAGCCAAGTCCTGTATGGGAAGAAATTCATGAAATTGTTTTTGGGATTGTTTATTGAAATTTGATAGGAAAAAAAAATCGGCGACCGAAAATAATTTTTTATTTTTTCTATCAAGACTAAACGAAAAATTTGGATTTTTATTTTTTCAGTCAAATTTAATCGTTATTTTGCGATGTTTTTTTGCGATTAACCGTTTAAACCGTTTTAATTGAGACTGCGTGTTTATGATTGTTCAAATCTTTTATAATCTAAAAAATTAAATCTAAAATAAACGGTTCTCAAATGATTGAAAAACTAAAAACCAAAAGTATTGACCAAAAATTTATCGAAAAAGTAAGAATAATAAAAAAAGGCTATTTTCAATCGAAAAAATAAAAATCATAGAGTAACAGCAATTTGAAAAAAGTTTAGAAAAGTATTACATTTTTAGTGGAGTTATTCCAAAACAGCTTTTCGCATTTTCCTATATAAAAAAAGGTATGAGTACCAGTACCGAAATTATCCTGAACTAGCCCAAAATTAGCCCTAAACTAGTCGCGAAATGGTTCTGAACAGGTCCCAAACTAGTTCCGAAATGTAGCTGAAATAGTCCCGAAATGGCCCTGAACTAGGCCCGCAATGATCCAAAATTCGTCTCGAAATGGTTCTAAAATTGTCGTGAACTAGCTTCGAAATGGTCGTGAACATGCACCGCAACGGTTCTAAAATGATCCCGAAATAATCCTGAACTGGTCCCAAAATGGACTTTAAATAGCAGTGAACTAGAAGAGAAATGTTCATTTGTATACACAAGAAGACAGATAAAATTTGTTTGCTTTGTTAATGCAAATTTTACCCATACCGAGAGCTAACACAAAAATTAACTAAAATTTACAAGTTTTACATTTCTAGGGTTAAATTAGTATTAAAAAAAAAAAAAATTCCAAAGAACGAGGTAAGCTCTTGATTTGAGCTTTGTACTTACCGTACTCTCCACACTGAAAACATGGCAGTAGTGTATATCCAGCTCCTTGGTGATGTAAGCAAAATGTCTTAAATCATCAGAGTCCTGACAGGCGCAGTTGATATTCTGGATTTCATGTTCACAAATTGTGTGCTAAAATATACGAGAATAGTATGCAAAATAACAGTACAGTACAATACCTCGAGTTTCCACCCTATATATATGGTTTGATAAGAAAATTCGGAGCAAAATTTCCTCGCCTATTTAAACCTGGACCTCGCAGAGATGAACTTTTGAACTTACTATTCATACTGATACCTCATTAGCCCTTGGTTTTCTCTTGTCTCATCTAAATGGCATCACATTCGACTGGAATCACATAAGCAGCAGCGATCGTTTGTCTGAATGCCTTATTTGTGCGAGTGCCCCTTCAGTCAAGAGTGTCTTGTAAGATGCTTGTGAAAATTCTTAATTTCTCCTTAAGGAGACTGACTATCCCCAGTAAGAATTTTGCTTGGCGTAGTTCTATTTAGTACCGCTAGTGCTGTTTCCTCGCTTTTCTCTTTTGATTTTTGAGCTTCATTGATCGTATTTGAACCCATTGCAAAATTACGGCTCAGGATCAATCGCAGTTGTCAAGGGAATTTCAAGGGAATTAGACGGAACCTTCTGCCTGAAATATGCTTAGGTAATTTACCATTGACACAGATATCCTAGCTCTTGGGCCATAGACGTGGGAGCTGGCATTCTAATTTCTCCATGCTTCTGGCTGGGATGAGTTTTCTTCTCACACTACTCTCTCTAACAAAAAGGAGCACTAAAAGCAGCTGGCAGAGTAAACCAAGGGCATATTTGCCGAAATTCGGAAATGTAAGCAGAGCAGGGAAGCCCAAAGAACCTCAAACTAGCGTCTTCCCAAAGCAGGCCTTAAGCACCTCAGAAGTACAGATTTTTAAAAAGCGCAAACCTTAATGCATACAGGCCGATGGTCTTCAGTGAAGGCCGTAAAGACCACTGGGCTTTGGAAATAGTTTGGAAATAGTGAACCGGAAGCACTCCGAGGCGAAAAGTTGGGAGCGAAAGATGTGTTGACTAGAATTTTTATCGACAATGATTTCAGCTCCACTTACAAACATACATACCTATGTAAAGATATATCCGAGTACGTATTTACTTAAGAGGTTCATATTTCTACATTCCTATGTGAACATTTATAATTCTTATAAGTACTTACTCACCTTACTATTGACATCAATAAACTCCACGCCTAAATGCGATATAGCTAAGCAAACTTGCGCTGGTTTTTTCTTATACAAATTGCCAGAGCGATTGTTTTTTTTCTGCTGTTCGGCAGTGTCATCACGTTTGAGTTTTTGTATCGATTTACGTGTCGATTCGGTGCCACGTAACTCCTTCACAACCGTTGAGCCCAGGTACTGTAAGAAATTAAAAATCAAACTCAGACGAGTTCCCTTTCTAACAGGTCAATTCTAGCAACTTTTTTTTAACAATAAAAACTAAAAGGACATTAAAAAAAAAATTATTAGAAAAAAAAAATAAACAAATAGAAATGAGTTATAAAAATTAAATGATATAAAAAATACTTATATTCAAAACAAGATCTAAAAATTAACAGACAAGGAAATTTAAAAAAATAAACAAAATCTAAAAAATTAATATTTTCTTTTCAAAGTAATAAAAATTAAAAGAAATATTATTAAAATAAGATAAAAAAAATAGATGATATAAAAAAATTTTCTTTTTGGAAAAAAATTGAGGAACATCCCAACAATTAACTAAAATTATAAAAAGGTATATTTCTTTTTAAAATAATATAATGTAAAAATTAAAAGAATAGTAAATTGACAAAAGACAAAACCTATATTAAAAAAAGAAAAGAATAAAAGAAGTTACCAAAAATTAAACAAAAAAATTAAATATTTTCCTTTTTCCAAAAATAAAATCTAAAAATTATAAGCAAAATAAAAAAGTTAAAAAATTAAAAGAAAAAGATTTTTTCCTTTTTAAAATAATATATCACTAGCTTAGATTGAAAAGATGCTAAGTCCATTTTAATAATTTTACAAGAGACGAAAATTTTTAATAGCCATTTTCTTTAAGTATTTTGGGAAACTGTGAACTTTTTGCGTGCTTAAAGCTAAGTAAACTCCATACGAATCAGGAGGACTCGATGCTAATTAAAAAAAATTTCGTGTTCATTTTGAGACTATCGATTTTTCTGTGCCTCTTTTGGACTTAACAAATTTATCTTTCATTGAATATATTTAAACGGGAAGAAATAAAATAAGCACGTTAATCCTCTTGGAAACAATACATTTTTGATTGCTTTCCATGTCAAATTATGAGTTTTTATAAAAAATTGGCTTAGAACATCTTTCAACTCTAAGAAATTAAAAGAAAATTCTAAGAAATTAAGGAAGAAAAATAAATACATAGGTTCCTAAATAAATATAACAGTTCGAGATATACTCACATAAACTTCGTATTTGATTTGCTCGTTGAGTAAAACATTCGCCGAATGTCGCCATTTTGTGCGTAAATTTGCTGGTAGTCCCAGCAGTAGTTCGGATGGTGCACGTATTTGTAACTGTTGTTGCTGTGGTTTTTCAGTTGGCGGTTGCGGAGCGGGCCTAATGGGAGATTGATAGGAGAGATAAAGAGATTCGAAAAGTTAGACCTTTTAAAAAACTTAATGGGGTGATTCACTAAGTCTTGTCAAACCCTTGGACGGTGTACGGATTGCAAGCTTTCCCATTGGGAAACCGGATCATACATGCAATCCGTGCAAGGTTTTTGCAATACTTATCAAAACCCACTCTTACCGATTTTTTCTATAACCCGTAATTGATGTTCTTTGCTGTGGCTGCGCATGCTGTGCCGGTTTCGGTTGTTGTGGCTCTTTGTTGCCACATTCGCCATTCGCCGGTGGTTCTAATTTCGTTATTTCGTGGTTATCAGTCTCACCACTTTTATTTGGCTCACGTATTTGCCTTATATAGGCTACCGATTGTAGTATGCGTCGCCGATGCCCCAACTTATTGATCTCCAAAACAGTCTGCAACTCAACATCCCAAACGCCGCATACACTATCGATGGTGTTGTATAAATGTTTGCTAAATAGTGGAGGAAATGTAATGTTTTTGAAATCTTAGATGTATGTGAGGACGTAGTACCTGAAAGATTCGATGTATTCAGGCAGGCTTATACTTTGCAGCCATTCACTTAACGTTGCCACACCTTTTTTCTCTGCTCCTGCATCGCCATTCTTAATGGCCTTAGTATCTCTTGTGTTATTTGTTGCAATAATTTGTGGTTGAAACTCTACTTTGGGCAGTGTTCGTACAAATGAAATCAATTTATTTGCATCTGGTGTTGGCAGATCCATGAGTTGGGTGTCGCTTGGCTCAAAAACGCCATTCTGAAAACGAAAGATTTTTATTTTGAAGCGGTAACATTCTATGAGTATTTCTTTCCTTAGACTTCGTCTACCAAAATTGAACGGATTTTCTTTTCTAGACAAGTTTGTAGTTTCAAATGAATTTTCGTAAGCTTCGGTCACCTTAAAAATATTAAGTACGAAACCGGATGTGAGGGTGAGTATTCTGTCAGGGTTAGGGCTATATGACCATCAACTTCAGGGCTTGAAGAGGGATCAGGGTGACGTTTATATCAAAGACCGGCAAAAGATCTCACATATCTCCCTGGGATTTCATATCAATGTGCCTAAAACCCTGGAGAAACTGATTGACCGAATTTATCGAGATCGCCTGTCAGGAGCCGAGCATGCAACCTTGAATAGTAGGAAGGTCAAGACCACCAAAGACTTCACTGTACTTTTAATCATTTCTTTATGGGATCAATGATCAGATTACTTCCCTAAGTCGAAACCGACCTATTTAAGCTTATTCATCGCATGCCCTGTAACAGAGATGATTTGGATTGCGGTGGCAACTGACCTCTAAGAGAAATCGCGACTGCCAAGTGATTGTCTTCGTGGATGACGTTGCACTTTTAGCTAGATGTATATTTCTGAATACCCTTTATGATTTGATTCAAGGGTACTTGAACCCGGTGACTAAGCATTTCATTGGCGATTTCTGATAGAGTTAAGTAAGTATCCGGGATTGGTTCTAGATGAGAAACTGTTGTGGAAGCCTAATAAAGAGCAAAGAGGACGTCAGTGGGTATTTACTGTTGTAGGGGAGCAATAGTTAAGGCTTCTTGGCTTCTTGGAAGCCACTATAGAGGACTACACTAGTCCGAAAACTGTAGAAGAAGTCGCTTTAATTAGAATCAATAAATCGCTGGGTAAGGGCTGTGGTCAAACTTAGAAGCGCGGAGTTCTCTTGGAAAGTATTCTTGGAAATTTCGACTATATCTCTATCAACATGGATGCCTGCGTTTCTAGAGTGGCACTTGAAAGAGGCACAAATCAACTTTTACATGGATGGGTCGAAGCTTGGTGGAACGGTTGGTGTAGACTTATTTTGCAAGAAGCTCTCTATTAATTTCAAATTTAGGCTTCCGGATTCCAACATTCGATATCGCAAGACATAGCAAGTTCGCCTAATAACACGGAACTTCTTGTTACATGCCTTTCATACTGCAAGATTTGGCGAAGCGATTGCATATCATTGCAGTATTTTCCAGACAAGGATAGCCGAAATTAGCTGCTCAAATGCGTGAAGTCCGAAAAGGATATAAAGATCTACTCTGACAGTCAAGCGACAATCAGGGACCTTCGCTCGCTCACGGTGTCATCGGTGTCAGGTAATGCCTGACTTCGCTTTCGGTTGCACTAATTACTTTCTAGTTGAACGTATATAGGTCTCGCAGGAAACTGCGCCGCGGATGGCCATGGAACGTACCCACTAGTCGTATTTACCGATAAAAGAAAGGAAGAGGGGGTGGTGGTATCTTTGGTAACTTATGGACTGCCATTAGACAGTTGGGCCTTGTCCCTGCTTAGCGAATGCTAGTAGGAAATAAGGACATATGCAAAGGCACGTTTTTTCTGGACGATGACCGACCTCACGCAGTCAAGGGATCTTCTTGAGCACTGAAAAATCGCAGTTCTTCATCCTGCCCGATGGGTTTTCATGTGGTGAGACTTATTATTGTACCGAATCCCCGCCCTCCTAGCTACATAGAGGAAAATAAGTTGGTGACAACACAACACTTTTTCTTCAGCTGGCCTGATTTTTCGAGGCTACGGTTTTAGCATCGGAACTGACATCTGCCTTTTTTTTTATTTCTTTCCCTGCACAAGGAATTTTTCTTTAGCTTAGCAGTTACCGTTTGTCGTGGTATTTCTGAGAACCGATGAACCTTCCTTTTCTTGTTCACTCAACACAAACTTACCAAAAACTTGAAGTTGTCATAGCCATTTTCGAAGAGCATGCGTTCCAAATGCAGCAATCCGGCATTCCTTAGCCGCACTGCTAACTCTCGTCGTTCCATGGGCTCAATAGTTTCATCGAACTCCAGCTCGATGTCATTTGTTGGTGTCAAAGTGGAATTTAATATGCCGCTACCGAAGGATTCGATAATCTCTGAGATCTTCTTACGCGCCTCTTCAGCATTAAAAGGACTCAGTATACCACTGCTTTGGGTGGTGGCTGCAGTAATTGTCGATAGAGCGGCATCGATATCGTCATTGTCATTACCGTTGTTGTTAGCGCCGTTTTTAGCATTATCGCCATCATTGTCATTTCCGTTTACATTCTCTCCCTCCAAGCAGATACTTACGCTTTGACTTAAGCGACTAGTATTATCCGCCACCTTTTCTGTCTCATCACAACCCGCTTGAGCGGCTGATACTTTGTTATCTTTAGCGCCTATCGGCAAAGGTTTGAGCATTTTGGTACAATCAGGTAAAATGGGTTTGGTCGGTATAGGTGGTCGGGTTCGTTGTTGCTTTTGTTGTTGTTCATCTTCCGTAGCCGAGGCGGATACACGACGCGCAGACGGTGGTGGTATACCGAGCTTATGATTGCCCATAGTACGCTTTTCATGTCGTAAATTAACACTCGAACCCTTGAAAAGGCCCGCAAAGGGTGCATCGCCGACAAATTCCTCAACACAATCGGTGGATATGCTTTGATCTGAAAGTGAAACGCTGGAGCTAAGCGAACCCGAGGAACCCCGTATGCCAGCGCCACTGCGTCGCGCATTAGACATTGTTGTTGTCGGTGAGGCATTGGCGCTTTGTTTAGGCGATAGGCTGCCAACGGGGTAATCGAAAGTGGGTGTGGGTATTAGCGCAGTTTGCCAATTTTTGGCGGGCGAGGTGCTTGAATCGATCATGCTTTTACTATGTTTTTGCTGTTGTTGTTGTTGTTGTTGCAGTTGCATAAGCGCCGAGCGTCGCTTATACTCCATGCTGAGCGGGCGTATGCGCTCATGTATGGTGCGTTCGGCATGACTGGAAGAGGGTGGTGGATGATCGGGTGTTGGCGGTTGCTGATAGTTGGTCGGGCTTAGCGGCGTCTGCGGTTTGACACCATTCTTGTTCTCCTTGGTGTCGCTGATGCTAAGAGAACTGAAAGAGTAACAGAAGTGGAAACGTACATAAGTGAGTCCTATCCATCCTTCATTATCGAGTTACTCGCTACTTACCAACTATTGCGATTCCTCTTCAGCTTCCGATTTGGATTATACGACTTCAATGTCGGATTCTCGCAATTTATAATATCGGTGCTTACGTCACGTGACTTGTTCAATGGCCGCTTCATTGAGTTTGAGGTAGCAACGCCATCTGCGGAATCAGCAGGCTCTTCGCTGCTATAATTCATGCGCTCCAACATATCATCTAAATGATGAAGTCGATCCAGCAAATATAAAGCCATTAACAATTTTAGAACAATAATAAAAATCACTTACTTGAACTCGATGTCAGCAGTGCTCCCGTCGCCGAGCGTGCACTCTCTCTGCTACTCGCATATAAGCGATCACCTCTCTGTCGATCACGCAACTGTGTCGTCTCATCGAAACTCATGCCACCCACACTGCCATGACTTTGATGTCTGCCGCTATGAGGAATCTCTGTCGATGGGCTATGATGTTGCTGACGCATGCGCGCAGATTGCTGTTGTTGGTGTTGCTGATGATTTGGTGAGGTGTAACTAAATTGCTGCCCTGAGTGGGTAGGTGAAACGGATAGATTGCGTCGCGGTGGTTTTTTGGGTGGCGCGCCGGGTGCAAAAGTACTCATATGCATGGGATTGTTGGCGGTTAAAGCCACTATGCCGCCTAATAGAACAGCAGAATTATAAAAAAAAGAAAGAGGAATTAGCAAAATGTCGCACTTACCCGTTGAAGATCGTGAACGTGGTGACACCGAAACTGGCTCAAAACTACTCATCGACGATGATGGACTCACACCCATTTCACTACACACAAACGTCAAGTGCACGAAGTGAAGTGTGTGGTAAAGTAGTGAAAGGTGTTAAAAGATTTGTAAAAAATAAGTAAATGTGATATATTTAAATTTTATAAAATATTAAGTATTTTTGTGAAATTTTTCGTCCATTTACAATTTAGTTTTATGGACTTATTGAAGCAGATTCACATGCAAGAAATTTTCGTGCCGGTGATATGTATGGATTTTTTTGGTATGATGCTAATAAATGAAAATTAATAAAATACTTCGTCGAACCAAAGATATTGATAGTCTTCAAGAGAAGTAAACTGAAAAAAAAAGTTTCTCCAGGTGTAATTTCCTCGTAGAAAGAAATAGGGAAGAGACAGAACAATTGAATTGCACTACCATCTGTACCACTGGGTCCAAAATCATTCCAACTACTTTACTTTGCTAGAATCTTCCAGATGGAACTATGTACTAAGAATTAAGAAGACGTGTAGAATTAACCGTTTTTCGAAGAGGGAACAATGTTTATTTGAGAAATCAAGATTTATGTCTTCCATACTTCTTGATTGGCGCATACAACCTTGGCAGACTTAAGCCGGGTTTCCTCGCTCCTAAAAATGGAGGGACTTATAGTTGTATGCCGGATCCGAACGGCGGGGTTTTGACGCTTTAAAGCGTGAATAAGCGTTGGGGAATTTTATGAAAATATACACCTCTCGAAGAAAGCCTTCAGACTAGCGGGAGGGAGGAAATGGCTGGGCTTTGGTGTACGATGCCTAATCAATACAATCACATATTGACAAGTTTTAACTATTTATTTAAATTTTTTTTTATAAAAATAAAGCGTCTTCTAAAAACAATAACAAAGTTTCATCAAATTTTCGAGCTTTTTAATTCGATTTCGTAGAAATATTTTGAGTTTGAAGTAACCGGGACTTACCGTTGTTTATGACAATTTTTTTTCTTGTTGAAGGTGTTGCTTATTGTGGCATTGTGCTACTATGAAAGCACGGCCGAGTAACCATAGTCAATTTATGTACAGTAGTCGAAAAAATTATAGCCGCACCAAATTTTGACAAGTTTTAAAATATTATTTTTGTTGTAATTTAATTTTGGTTAGCTTTTATAGTTCATTCTTTAACAACATCCGTATAAATACAAGTTAAGAAAACACAGCCTTCTTTATCACGATCACAAAAAATAATTTGTTGAAATTTTTCAATAGAAGATTGCTGTATTGAACTATTGTCCCAATTTTTTTTGATTTTGTACCAATAGCCCAATATAAAAATGTAAAAATTTGGACAAATGTACCAATCGAGTGACACTGCTTTAAGAACTTATGCAAATAACAAAAAAATAAAATAATTTTTTTTTTTAAATTTCGAGTTTTTTAACTAGATTCTGAGTATGTAATTTTGTAGTGCATTGAATTTTATAGAACTTTTAAAAAAGCTCGAATTTTGTACGAAAGTTTGTTGTTTTTTTTTAATATTGTTGTTTTTGTAATACTGTACTCTGTTTGGCTAGAAGTTTGAATGAATTCATGCAGTCCTCTAATACATAGATAGAGGAGTTATATTTATTTATAAAAAATCATATCTGAATAATTAGTGGTATGGAGGATATGCCTTATAAAGCCCGATCTAGATGATTTTCACTGCTGTGCATGATCAGCATGTGCACTGTTATATCGCAAAAACTTGTATCTGAACAATCAGCACTGATCTTGGTGATTTGCTCAGTGGTCTTTGTATGATGGTATACAAATTATTGATGCATTATAAAAATACACGCGCTTACCAAATTTCAGTCGGATATCTCAAACACTGAGGGACTAGATTGCGTACAAACAGACGGACATTTAATCATTTGATCATTTAAGTTTACATTTTACGAGGTACATCTCTTCTTCTTCCTCTTCTGGTAGAACCATCGGACCAAAATTATGAAACATGAAAAGCTATTATGTTCATAAAGGTATGCATGTTTTTATTCATAACAAATAGAATTAATTAATTTTTTATTTTTTTTTTGTTAAAAATGTACATTAACGTGTGTGGGTGTAAAAATATGTGTGCTATGCAATGAACATGCAATTCGGTGCAAAACAATGAATGAAGCAAAAAAAGATATATTGAATTATTATTTAATATAATATCACAGCAAAATAATTGTATAAAGTATTATAGAAAAATAATGCATTAAATATAACACGATCCATCAAACATGCACACAAACAATTACAAAATTAAAGTTACATAGTGTAAGCGAATATCTTAAAATAAATCTATTAACATACTTCTGTGAGTTATTGGAGGTGCTGTGGACTGGCGAGTTCACTTCGTAGTAGCCACCGCCGCGTCCGCCGATGCCATAATGGTCAGGCTGAAGACCGCTATCCAGTGATTTGCCACCATTGAAATTTGTGCCATAGCGATGTTTACTGTTATTACCACCACTACTACTACTATTACCACCACCAGCACTGCCACCATTTCCGCCGCCACCACCACTATTGCCGGTGTAGGTGGAAGACTGTTGCAGTGAATGTGCGTGATTAAGTAAATGATTGTTCGAATTGAAGTGATAGTGATTGTTGTGTTGCTGTTTCTGATAGTGACTGAGACTGCTGCTTTGACGCTGTGGTGGCGGCGGTGGGTGCTGATGACGGAATACCACCACCTCATCATTATCGTCCACATCCATTTGATTGCGGAAGTCTGAAAGTGGTTGTGAGAAAGGATTTCAGAGAGATGTGTCTGCGATTTTAGCCAATTGCACTCACTATTTATGACTGCAATAATATGCTTGGTCACATGCGGTGGAAATTCTTTTAGTATATCCAAAGCGGTGCGTCCCTCCGCATCGGTTGCATTCAAATCTATGCCTGCTCTAAGCAGCGTACGCACCACCGACTCCTTGCCGCACAATGCCGCTTCGTGCAGCGCCGTGCCGGATGGCGTAAGCAGATTAACGCTAACACCAGCAGCCAATAGCACCTCAACAACGTTCTTATGCCCATTTCGACTGGCCACATGGAGGCAGGTGTGCGGGAAAATGTTTCGCGTTGGCGTCGCTGGCGAGGAGGTGATCGATGGCGATGAAGGCGAAGGCGTCGAAACTGAGCCAGAGTGTGGCAGTGGCGATGAATGGCGTGACTTTGGACGTTGCTGTCCCACAACACCACCACCACCACCACCACCGCCACTGTTGGACACACCCTCAATCGCTGCTACGCTGTAGTGCGCGATGAGTTCGGGGTGCGCACGTATCAGCATCTGTACCGCCTGCAGTCGACCATATTGCGCTGCCAAGTCGAGAGGCGTTTCGCCGCGTGAATTGCGCATATTTGGATCGGCATTGTGTGCCAACAACACCGCCAGTGCGCCCGTGTGACCGTGCTGCGCGGCGCAGTGTAATGGCGTCTCATTCTCGATGGTCTGTAGAGAAGAGAGAAAGTGCTTCAGAAAACATCTACTCACGCATTTGTATATACGTTTGTACTCACTTGCAAATTTGGCTGCGCCGGCTTGTATGGATGGCTCAGCAGCATTTTCACTATTTCCTGATGACCTGCCCAAGCAGCTAAATGTAGTGGCGATGAGCCGCGTGAATCCGGTAAATTCGGCGAAGCTTCATTGTTCAGCAGCAATCGCACTATATCGCTGTGGCCATTCAGGCAGGCGTGATGCAGCGCTGAGTAGCCGCCGCTGTCTTGTATATTGACGCCGGGTCCACGACGCAAGCTGGCCAATGGACCGGCGCGTTTGGCGCGTTGATTGAGCACCTTTTCGATGTAGCTGATGTTGCCATTGCGCGCGGCGTCCAGAAATTCTTGGTCCTTACCCATAATGACTAGTAACTACTAAGTTGATGTGCGTGTGTTGATTGTTGATGTTGCAGTGCGAAAGTTAGTAAATAGGCTTCAAACCTGAAAGTAAAGATAAAACAATTAGTTGGATTAGCAAGTTTAAACCAATGATTGACGAGATACCAACATTAGTTCTGATAACTATTGGTACGGATAAAACCCAAGACTTCCTACCGCGCGTAAAACGTATGTATGTATTCGCAATTTTCGGAATGTAATTGGAAACAGACGTTGTTAAGAAACCTTCAAAGTTGCATATCCAAGGCCGCCTAATACGGAAATTATTTTTACAATTTTCCTTACGATCCGCATCAGTCAAAATGGGCATTATCTCTCTTGAAACGAGTTAAATGGAAGGAACAAGTGCAGCATTACCGCACTTGGGATGAATAACTGGCGCAAATCCGCAAAGAAGAGAGGCCAACTGGCGAAGCTTTCTCATCTCGGCCCAAACCGAAAGCCGGTTTTAGTAGCCTTCTCACAAATTGGGGGCCTCTTGCTTACTACCGCCAGAGCTATCGTGCTTGCTTGATCCACCTCTGTGGGGAAGGCGCACATCACTTACGATTGAACCATGATATGAACTAAAAAATACAGAAGCTCCACCCGTCTGGTTAGGGCGTACGGCTGGACACAAAAACTGCAGCTCTGAAAGTTTATTCCACAGCTATGAAAGGTTTCAATTGCATATCTTTTGGCATCGTAAGACACAGAATTGAAGTTGGGGTTTTCGTATTACCCTCCCTCTTCTATCGCGTCAGGGAAATGTGTAACCATTATCTTTCTCTTTTCGTCAGTAGAGCCTCAACCCTTATCTGCGCGTAGGAGGTATCAGACCTCTTGAGGGAACTCTGATCATTTCTGTGCAGTTTCACCAGCCTAGCTATTTGACTCAAGTTATCAATACCACGGCAGTATTCTCGAAAGGAAGCCCTTTTCGAAGAACGAATTAGGTGCATATAATTCCATTTCATTTCTAAATGCATATGTAAATATACAATTCTACTTATACACCGTTGCATACATATATTCCTAAAAATTTAGTGCCCGTTTTCGCTGTAGCATAATTTAAGAATCACCTAAAACTCTTGTCGGCAATCAATTAATTGCATGCAACTCCCTAAATATTAATTCATTATAGAATATTTGTTTTTAGGGTGTGTCTATAGGCTTCCCTTGTGGATAATAAAGGCTGTCTGCAACGCAGAAGGCGCCAAGAGAATATGTAATTAACCCATTAGGCGGACGAAAATAAATATGATTGCAGAACAAAACTATAACACAGCATAGGTGAATATGTATGTATGTATGTATATCACACTCTTTGTGGCATTGATGAAGCGATGAGTGTTTAATAAAAATAAAAGTTTGCGTGCCACAAAGTAACTAAATATTTAACATACCGAAAGACATAAATATGTAGATTTTAGGAACAAACAAATACACAAAAAACTCGACCAAAAATAATAAAGTGGCACGCGTGAATTTTTTTTTATGGCATTTTGAAGTACATGTGTGTAGGAGTATGTGTATGTCCGAAAAATGTTTACATTTGATGTTGCTCTGTTTTTGTAGGCGTGCTATTGTAAATAAGTTCACTTTATTAACAACTCAACAACTCAGAAATGTTTATTTAAGTGAAGTGTGGAGAAAGGTAAACCTACTTATGTGTTTATTATACAAACATACATATATGTATATACATACCTCCACTAGGGTGCCTCCCAAAAAAAAAAAAATTGCGAGTTTTCTTCCGGAATTATAAAGTGTATTATATTGAAATACTTCCGCCAAAGTATTTCTGAAACCTATTGAGTCCTTCTAAACATCAAGAACATAAATTCAGAGGCCATAACAGAGTCCTTGAGGGGACTGGAGGGTGGACGATTCTCTGAAGTAGTTTATAAAGGCAGATGCTCTTGTGCAGGTTGATCACAGTAAAAGTCGGTGAGATCTCGCGTCAATTCGGAGAAAGAGGAACTTGTCCTCTTTACGAGAAGATACAAGAAACCACCACTGACTCCGCCGAAACAAAATTGACGTCTTATAAGCTTTACGAATATAGCAAAATTCATAGGCATCATCCTCGATAGAAAACTGAGCTGGAAGAAGAACATACTCCAGCGTTATGAGAAGGCGTCCGTAGCCCTATATTCGTGCAAGAGGTAAAAAGTGGGAGTTGAGCTCGACTTACACAGCTGTGTTTAGATCGATTCTCCTTTAGTATGCAGGGGCGCCTTGGTTAAGGCTTCTAACCTGAATCGACTCATCAAAGTCCAGGAAATTAGTACGATCTGCATCAGTGGAGAAATCATCTGTCACATGATCTGGTGGGTAAGCAGATATCATCTCTTGCTATGGAAATGGGGATTACAGTGTAAAATAAAGTTAATTATAGAGAAAAGGATATAAATAGACACGTCTGGGAACTACTTTGGGATTTTACCGATTTTCGGGATTTATCGAAATAATAATCGATATTTTTAACGGTTTTGTTGTCGAAATTTTTATCGTTTTTTCTATAGATATTTTCGGAACTTATCGATATAATAGTCGATTTTGTAATCGATATTTTTAACGATTTTGTGATCGATATTTTTTATCGATATTTTTACTGGTTTTGTTATCGATATTTTTATTGAACGTGCTATCGATATTTGTTATCATTATTTTTATCGATTTTGTTATAGATAGTTTTATCGATTTTGTTATCGATATTGATATCGATATTTTATCGACTTTGTTTTCGATTATTTATCCATTTTGTTATCGATATTTTTATCGATTTTGTTATCGATATTTTTATCAATTTTGTTGTCGATATTTTTATCGATTTTCTAATCGATTTTGCTACCAATATTGTTTACGATTTTGTTATCGATGATTTTGGATGTTACTATCGAGTTTTTTATTGATAGAGTATAAAGAAAAAATGACGGTAAAGAAAAACAGAATAACATTAATGTAATTAGGACAAATAGGGGTAGTGGTATAGATCTAGATAGAAAAAAGACAAAAAATATAACCTTAAGCAAAAGCAGATGTACATATGTATGTATGTATGTAGTTATGTACATTTATTGGTTATGAGACAAACTAGATAAATAACGTAAGTTTCACTTTTAAGCTTACGCTTTTGTATCACTGAAACTAATTTCATTTATAAAAACTGAATTTTTTTAAATATTTCCAAATTGGTATAGCTCACGCAAATCGTATTATTTTCCGAAATATTTTGGTGGAAGTCCTAAAATAAAATACATTTTATAATCTGGATAGAAAAATAGTACCGATTTTTTTATAGATAGTGATGTACCCTAATATAAAAATATTCAGCTAAATTCATATATGTATATATGTAGCTGAAAATCTGTACGTATATACATATCTGTGTGTATGTATTTAAGTGGACTATTGTATATATGAAGTACTTTAAACCTATACACACAAACTTAGTAAGCCTACAACCGATACGACGATTAAGATCATATAAAAATAATAACATCAGCACACCTTTAGATCAGTTGCTTTTTCCATCAAAAAGGATTTCTGCCAACGTAGCGTACAATAAGGCGCTTAAGTTACATATATGCATAATACAAGCATACTTATAGGGAACATACACATAACGTAGTGTGGATATATGCACATATTTGTCGTGCGTACAACCTGCGCAAACATACTCAAATCAAGCAGAAGGTAGGTTAGGTGTTCTTTGATAAAAAAAAAGGAAACTGCAACTAAAGCAGAAACAACCATTTAAAAGACAACAAAAAACACATGAGCTAGGCTAACAAATGCGAGGCATCATCAATGGGACAACTCCCAAAAATGTGCTACGACAACACACGACAGACAATGGGACACGAGCCAACATATAAAAGTGACAACATGATTTTCTACGCTACGCTAGAATCAAGTGGACATTTGCACGAACAATTTCGCTAGCGCGGCGGTGGTGGCTCTGGCGGTATTGAACGTCAAAGGTGGCATACAACAAGGCGCGCGAGTGTTAAAGCAAATGAGGGAGAGAGAGAGCCATGAATAAAGTAAAAACAAAAATGCTATCAACTGCGCGCATGTAGCGTCAAAAGAGACTGAGAGTATAGAGTTGCAAACTGTATTCGTGTGTACAGATGGCGCTGTGCATGTTTTGATAAGAATAATCATTCAGAAGACACGACGGAATGGACAAATAGCCGAATAGTCAGTCATCTATTCTGCTAGCCATTCAGTTAGCGTAAATGTCAGTCAAACAGCTTGTCAGACTGGTAAATAGATAGTTGCATAAAAAATGGAGTAGGCAAATAACTGTAGCATACTTTGCAGCGTTGTTTGTTTTGCTTGCAGACGGGCAGGCAGCCAAACTGACTGGCCAGGCTACTGACGACGATGAGGATTGCGTCGAAGCGCAGTCAAGCAGCTGCTTGTTTAAATACTTATTTACATACTACACACACACACACACACACACACAATATATATATACAGACACTCGTATGCAAGCCAATGTCCTGTGACGACGAAGGCGAAAACATGCAATGGACGGTAATTTTGATTTATTAGACACGAACAACTAATGGTTTTGTAATTTGAGCGCAAATAATTTGATGTCATAAAATATTTAGTGACATGAAATTACTCGAAAATGTGCGCAACGTATAACCACAAAATTTGACATCGGTTGTGGCGAATCTACTTACATACATATAGATTTAAATATAGATAGTAAAGTTGAGAAACGGCGTGAAAACCGCATTCGGATGCGGAAAAACATTGTTCGAACTGGGTCAAAGGATATTGACCTAGAGTGTGGAGGTATACAAACGCATTCACATATACACACACATACACTCAGCATCACAGAGTCACAGAGTCACACGCAAATAGCTACAGCTCTCTGTTTATCAAGAAAAGAAAAGAAAAGCATCCATAAAATTTGCAAATTGGAGAAAACAACATTTTTTGCCGATATTTGGGTAGAATTTTCCGGAAAATTCCCGGAATGATAATAAAATGCCATTGGCGACAGTTGATGCATGAAAGGCTTTTCCGGGGAAGGAATAATTTAAAATATAATAGGATAAAAGGGCTGGGCCCAGAATGCAATGAAACAATATTTGCCAGAATGTAGATAATGGAAAATAATAAAACTTAGACAAATTGTTGAAATGGGCCGAGGGCGTAGCCAGGAGCAAAGGTTAATATACCAAAAAAAAAGTAAATTTGGAGAAGTGAAACCTATGTTACATATGTATCTAGTTTGTCTCATAACCAATATATGTAGGTATGTACATAAGGGTGGTCCAAAAATGCATGTGGAAAAGTAAAGTCGGAATTTTCATGCTCTCACCCCCTAGGATTGTTCTATACCGAAAAAAATATACCCGTATTTTTTTGTTTTGAAATCAAAAAATATTTAGAGAACGCTCAAAGCGCTTAACGTTTTCCACGTATTTTATATGGGAAAAAGATCACTTCGCGTAGAAATGGTATAGAATTCTCGAAAATCCTTATTTTGCGATTGGAAAATTCCGCTTTTCCTTCAAGATAATAATTTTAATTTGGGTATTGTTTATTTAACTATTTTTTCATTTTATCTATATTTTATTTGTCCGCCAAAACTCCCACAAAATGTGAGAAATTGCAATGCGGGGATAAATAAAACCCCTATAGTATTAAAAAATGGTTAATAAAAAACAATTGGGTACTGTTATTGGAAGTCTTCTGAAGTGAACCACAGTTTTCAGATCGAAAAATTTTGATTTTCAAGAATTCCATACCGTTTCTTCGAAAATACACGGACAACTTTGAGCGCTTTGAGCGACCTCAAAATATTTATTGAATTAAAAATTATAAAATAGGGGTATATTTTTTCGATACATAAAAATCCTAGGGGGTGAGAGCATTATATTTACGATTTTACTTATTTTGTACCATCCTAATGTAAATACATATGCATACATAGGCTAGTTAATATAATCTTATAGGCTTAAGGTTATATTTTTATCTGTTTTCTATATTTATCCCTACCTCTACCCTTTTCGTTATAATATCGATAAAAATATCGACAACATAATCGATAAAATATCGATAACAAAATCGATAAAATATAGATGACATAATTGGTAAAATACCGATAGCTAAATGGGGAAAAATATTGATAACATAATCGGTAAAATATCGAAAAAACGGTAACAAAATGGATAAAAATACCGATATCAAAATCGATAAAAAATCAACAAAAGTATCGATAACGAAATCGACAAAAGTATCGATAACAAACCCGATTATTATATCGAAAACAGCATTGATAATTATGTTCGTAAATATATCAATAACAATATCGATAAATATGTTCATAAATACATGTACCAAAAACATCGTTTTTTATATCGATAAAAATATCAATAAAAATATCGACTATTACATCGATAAAAATAAATACACATATCGATAACGAAATCGATTTTTTTGTCGATAACAATATCGATAAATATAACGAAAGTTCTAAATAGTCCCGAGAGCACCGAAATAGTCTTGAAAATCCTAACTAGTCCCGAGAATCCCGAAAATATTCGTTACCTATATGTATATTAATCTTTCTTCGTCTATCTTCATATTTAATTTTACCGGTAGCCCCATCATCATCTCTTTCTTAATATTTATCTTTATTTTTAGATTTATGTTTATTATTTTCTTCATCTAGATTCTTTGCTCTTTGCCTTTTGCCTTAAGTCCTATTTATTAAAATTTCATTTGAACGTAGCACGTTGATAGGAGAAAAGGTGCCATGCAGAGTAGTACGCATCTTTCCAAGCTACCCTACAGCCAATTCCGACGCGCGAGGTAGCTAATCCGGGCAGCTGTCTCTTCCTGGCGACGCCCTTGGAGTAATGGGCCGACTTCTTGTCAAGCGGTAGGTCAGGAAACGATTTATTTTAGAACAGACTTGAGCATTTTTTGCCTATACTAAAGCAGCTCAGCTTTTAACAATTGTTTTCTGGTGATGCGTTCGTTATCAACGCACCCAGTAGGATTTATTTGATAAGTATGACGATCAGAAGTAAACCGAAATGCGGCACTCTTATTGGTCGGAATCTTCATTCTACTATGTAGTCTCTGGTTCTAATGCAATGTTTAATTCTGAATTTGACCTCTTCCATTTCGTTCCCTGGCAACTCACTTTGACCTGTTTTATAGCAATTTTTAGAAGTATTTTCAAATCGGTCCAGCTCATGTAAATCTTCATATTTTCCCCAAATATTATAGCGGAAGTCTTAAAATATGACATGTTTTATAATTCCGTTGAAAAAAGCGCAACTTTTTTTTGTGCAGCACCCTAGCCTACATAAATGAAATCTTCTATACTTTCTACTTCTATACATAGATGCTTTTTTTGGTATCTTAAAGGCATTAAGAGATAGCAACTGTAACCGAGTATTTTTCGCACTGGGCATATAAAGGTCAAACCTTATATTGCCTGGTACTTTAATTATTCAATTGCCTGAATTTGTTTTTGTTGTTTAGTACTTGCAAATTTTTATGCAAATAACTGCAAAACCTCGCTACTCTGGCTCACTCAATGTGCTACAAAAACAATCAAACCGCTATTTGCATACCTCAAACTAATTAGAAATAGAAATATGAACAAAACAAATGTATGTACTTACGTTTTATGTACATATGTACATTAGGGTGGTCCAGAATTTGTTTCCCAGTTGCCTCCCAGAAAATAAGGAGACTCGTTGTTTTGAGCTTCGAAGTTTTCGAGACATTTCGCATGGGGAAAAGACAATTTTTTTTTAGAATTTCTATAGCACCGCTCAAAACTAATTTGTTTTGATTGAATACGAATATTTCTCTGCAGTGATTTTCAAAACCTGAAGGTATGATGCATATTAAAAGTTAAAGTTTTACCAACTACTTTTTCAAAACCGATAATTTTATTTTTTTTTTTTATAAAAACGTTGTTATTTTATGAATTTGTAAGCGCTTAAGCACATCTCGCGCGTTATTTAAAAATAGTTAGTACAATTTTAAGGTTAAATATGCAACATAATTTTATTTTTTTGAAGATTTATGAAGGAAAATATACTTATTCCACCAAAAAATATTTATTTTTAACGATTCTACAGCAATCCAAAGAAAAAATTTATTTTTTATTATATATTGCCCGATTTAAAAAGAAAAAATACGGGTTACCTTATTTTCGATATTTTTCGTTCTTGGGGAGACTGCAAGAAAATTTCAAAAAAAAAGCTGATCTTAATGTGAATTTTCGGACGACCCTAATTTACTGACTATACATCCATAAATTCTATGCGTACACATATATGTACTAGCTTAAATAACTAACTAAATATTACTTATTCTATTAGTGATTTGAATGTCGCAGCTAAACGACTTTCGCAAATAACTTTTCTAGGCCAACCTACCATTTAAGGCTGCGCTTGAAATTCCTTTTCCTCGCTTTTGTTATAACGTAGTATATACTTGGCAGTTATCGGTTCAGCCCTGCTACGCCTGGCTTAGCTACTAGCTGGTGACTTGTGGCTCGTGTTGGTGGCTGATGGCTTCGCTGGCTGGCTTTAAAAGGCGTGTTCCCGTTTTCGTTTCACTTTCTGGCACATACACATTTTTTGCTTATACTACTCCAGAGAATCCAAGCGCAACAAAAACAACAACAGTTACAATAAGTTGCAAGCGCTTTAGCTTCGTCGTTGTTGCCGTCGTCGTCGTCGTTGCTGCCACCCAAAAGTGTATCCCAACAGCAAGTAGGCAGCTAGGAAAGATTTTCTTCAAGTACTTCAATTCCAAACGCGCACCCAAACACATGCATACATACTCATGTATACACACATACGCTTACGAAGAAAGAAATCACAAATTATTCAAGCTTTTGTTTGCTCTATAGCCGATTTGGACTTCAATTAATTCAATTGAAATCATTAATTTAATTCACGTTTTTTACATTGTACATATCATTCAATTATTGCATTTTTTATTCACTTTTCCCCCATTATCATTGCAGCAATTCACATTTATCTAATGAGTAATTTTATTTGCTTGCACATTTCTTGATATTCTTATAACACAACGCAACGCTTCTTGAAACTGACTGAATCTTGATTGCTCCACTGGAGTCTCTGGCTGCCCCAGCTTGGCGTGTCAGTGAGTGAATGAGCGAGCAAATGAGTAAATATCTACACGGTTAAGTGATTGAGTATCTCAGCGGCGCAGCGCCACGGTGCGTTCTATGAGATACTATATATGTACATATGTATTCATATGCACAAATCCCCAAACATACCCTGCAGAAAAAAATATCAATTGATTAAAATAATTAACTTCTAGTTAAATAACCAAGTTTTAAGGTTCGATAAATAACCAAGTTTTAAGGGTTGGCTTTCCATTACATCGGTTTTTGGGTGTTTTCACAAAACTATCACGAATTTTGTCATGAAACTTAGCCTGGATGTTAAGAATCGTATATATTTACATTATTTATTACTCTTTTCACTTTATTAGTATTTAACTCATTTTTTGTTAAATTCTTTGCAGTTTCACCAGGAAATTTTCATATAAAAAGAGCACTTAACACTTATATTTTGATAAATATACGTCTTTGCAATGTTCATGTGTATTTTGTATACATTAAATGTATTTTATTTCATTTTTTAACAATATAAAACGCGTTTAACAATTTCATTACTTTTCTTCAACAAAGTAAATAAGCAAACAAATCAAAATGGCTGTAATGGTGAATAGAAAGGTGCTACCAGATGTTCGAAAATTAAATAGCTACACTAAAATGAAGGGATATTTAACAATAAACTTCTGTTTCATAATAATCTCGATAAAATTAGGGAATAAATGAGTATGTCTGCGGCGCTTTAAAAAATCAAAACTTCGTTAAATAATGAACATTTTTAATAAAAAAGCGGGTGATTTTATGTAAATCAGTTTTTTATAAAAATAAATACTTCTATAAATAATGAACATTTTTTATAAAAAATCGCGCCTACGACGTTTTTTATAAAAATCGATAATTCGATTAATAATTAACATTTTTATTAAAATCAATACTTCGCCTGCTACTCTTTTTTATGTAAAACAGTATTTCCATATAAAGTAAAAATTTTCATTAAAAAACCCGCGACTTTTTTTTACTATTCTCATCATCTGGCAGCACCAACAGCTGGGTTCCAAAATTTCCATGTAATCAAGGAAATTTGTATGGAAAATTGTGTAACTTTAAAAGTTAATAATTTTTTAAATATAAGCCTCCGCGGTCTGGGGTTTTCACTTTTAGAATCGGAAAAAGCCCCTCTACCCGCCCCCATTTTTATTTTTTTCAAATCTGGACCGAATTTAAGGAACATTTTCCCGTTAGTTGACCAGTTCTCACAATTTTGAGGCCATCGCCATTTAAAAGTTGTTACCTACGGCCAAAGGAAATAGTTAATAAATAGTTACCACTAGTCGGCTGGTAGTTAGTTAATCGTTAGCTACAAACTAGGGCCATTGCCTGCAGGGCACATACTAGTACATAAATATGCATGCATATGGAAGCACTCACATTCATATGTATGCTGAGAGTAATGTTGACAGTGACAGCGCAGCGTTAGCATGAAGCTCTTCCGCTTTTGGTGGCAAGTGCGCTGACGTTTTGGGGCGCGCTCCAAACACATGCGTACGCTGTTGTTGTTGTTTTCCTTTTGCTTGAGCATGTGGTTGTTTGTGTGTGTGTTTGTTGGAAATGCGTGTGGCGCTACTTCAACACCCACACATACTGCGAGAGCACGCGCTACGAATGGCAAGAATGACAGCAGTTGGCCGAGAGCGAGAGTGTTTTGTTTACAAGTATGTTCTAAATTGGGGATGTACAAGTGAAATATATTTAGGGTTGCCAAATGATTGTTGGCATAAGGGAAATAGTTAATTAAATAGAAAAAATCTGATTGAGTTACATATATGTATCATTAATAGGCAGCAAGGCCTAAAGTCTTTTTACCATGTACAGTAGGGCGGTAAAAAAAAGTTTAAAATGTTAAGCTCTCACCCCCTAAAATTTTTTAAAATGGAAAAAAGAATACACGTATTTTTTGGTTTTTAAATAAAATATAAATATATAATATCAGAAATGTCTCAAAGCCCATGAAGTTTTCCATGTATTATATATGGGGAAAACACCTTTTCGTAGAATTGGTTTAGAATTCTGGAAAATCAATTGAAACATTCACAACGATGTCGTAAGTGTCGTATTGTTGTATATCGTAAACTTTAAAAGCTTAAATAGCCTTAAAAAGCTTAACAGCCAGCAATTTTTAACACTGCGGAAATTCATAATATGATTTTGATGGTAATTTGCGAATCCCCTTAATATGTTTTTTAGGCGTTTAAAGTTTACGACATACAACAATACTACACTTACGACAACGTTGTGAATATTTACACCAACAATTTTTCGATCGGAAAACTCTTTTTCTCTTTAGGTCTTTGTGACAAAATCAGAAATAAGAAGACAATATCAAATACATATCTCGAAAACGAGACCGAGACACCCAAATAAATGTAACGGTATTTTAAAGGTTTTGAGTTAGAGAATTCATAAAAATAGCTGTATAAAACAATCACCTTGACTTTCAAAATTAGAAACCAAAATTGAAAATCTATATTTGTTCTTTTTTGACCTGAACACAGCATGAAATTAACTTTTTTAAAAGTTCTTAACATACATTTTGTTGTTCTTACGTCATTAAATCCATTTCCATGGTCGCAAGGACTGAAAAATAAATTTTAAATTGTTTTTTAAGTTTGTTTTAATTTTGTTGTTGTTGTTATTTGCCGCCTAGTTTTATGTAAAAAAAAGGCCGAAAGTGAAAAATTTTACATTTGAAGATCATCTTAAGTTCTGTTTGACTCAAAATTTAATTTGACCTTAGCAACGTTCTTCAAAATAAAAATAACTAAATTTTATAACACAAAAAAAAATTTAATTTTCTACACTGTGCGCCACTGCGTTTATTACCATACTTTTTTCTAAATTATTTCATATCAACCGACTTAAAAAAGACAGTACAACCAAGCAGGTCCCTATTTTGAAAATTTTGCCCGTAAATATGAATTTTCTAATAACTCGACTACAGCGCTATCTGGCGGCATTTTTTATTAATTGATTATCACCAACTCTGTTTTTTTGTTGCATACATTCCTCTGTCAAATCTAGAGTCTAGACATGCGCTTTGTTCTCAATGCGCTCTCTGAGTACTTGTAGCTGCATGCTACTCCTGCTCTTTAACCCTTTTGTGACAATGGTTTCCAAACGAGGACGACAAGAATTTTGTTGCTTAATACTAAATTGAAAAGTATGTTTAGTTATGTGCATATACATATATGTATAACTATATTAGGATCAAGTATGCCTTTCAAGACCCCCCTCAACTAAAGAAATATTCATTATACTGCTTATTACAACATTTATGTTTGCGTATAATCGTAATCAAATTCAATCAAGGTTTTGTACAATTCAGTTTCTTACGACTAACTATCTACCGATAAAATTAGAAAAAAAACCCACAAAATAAGGCCTGGTATTTCCATTTCATTATGCGCCAAATTGCTTCATCAATTGCAAATACAACTAATTAATTTCTATAGCGGCGCCTTGATTAAAAAAAAAAAAAACAAACACACACAAAACATGATTGCCAAATTATTTCGACATAACACTAACAAGCAATTTTCCGTAACGGAAATTGTCAGTTTGAGGCGTCATAAAAATGAAAAAGCGGCACCCCACGATTTCATTGGCCCCATTGGGGGCGTTAATTGCAACAGTCATTCGAAAATCGCATTCGCATTGCATGAACGCCATTGCCAGTTGCACAACAGACGGACAGCTAGAGAGGCGTTGGAGTAGTAAGCACAAAAAAATGTTGGTAGCACAAAAAGCAAACAAATATTTAGCAAACATTTGTATGGAAAATAGAATAAATATGTAAATGCCATCGACATTCTTGTGGTCAAGTGAGTTAGTGAGTCATACGTAGTACCTACTTGTAGCCATGTACTAGGGGGCACAATCAGTGGCGGATTTTAAAAACCGTAAGCGAGAGAATGAAATGGCTTTGCTTAGCACTTTTTGTTTAACAGATTAAGTGAATAAATTTTGTCTTTAGTTACTTATTCAAAATATCGATGAGGTACTTGATCCCCTGGGAAACTACTTGAGTTTTCTAAAAACTATCGAATAGATTTTAAGGTCGTCAGAATAAAGTAAAAAAATTTGTGTATGAAAAATAGCTTTGAATGACATTGATAAACAAGACAAATAGCAGAGGACCCAAATGCTACCAACGCGATAAAAGAATACGTCTTTGAATTGAAAAAAAAAAAAAAAAATACTAAAACTAAAAACCTTCGATTCCAGAGATAGGACTTCAGCCAAAGGAGGGATGCAAGCCCAGGTGCGCTGATTTCTTAACTAGTATTAAATGCGAAACTCTGTCAAAGGCCTTGGAGAAGTCCGTATAAACGACATCGACATGAAAACCTTTCTATAAAGCTGATAAGCAGTCTTCTGAGAAAATAGCCCAGTTAGAAACAGTTGATCTACCAGGGATGAATCCATGCTGGTTAGGACAAATTAAGCTTTAATCAAACAGCTTAGAGGTAGTAGAAAGCTTGGAGATAGGTCTGTAATTACTCATATCNGAAAGGTGAAGAAACATATATTTAATACTTGCGCCGGGTATTTAATGTTCGGCTCCGCCCGAACTTAGACTTTCTTACTTGTTGTTTCTACTTTTAAAAATGGGTGTAATAAACGTCACTTTCCAATTACTAATTAAATTGCCTGTAGATAAAGATCTAAATGGTTCATGAATTACTCTTATACTTATAGAATAAGAGCTTGCTACGGTTTTCGCAGTTTGACGTACTTTTTTCGCATGCACTTTAAGTCCAGAGTATTAGTTATTTTATTTATAGCTTTTATTGAGTGCAATGGGATATAGTCGTCCTTCTGGGTATACAGTTATAGTTGGAAAACCATACTCAATGCCCACTCTTGCGTTCCCGTTCGCAGACTCTGGAGAACAT